ACATGAGACGAACTTATTCAGCTCCGAAAAATGCACCTGGGAAACAAACAAATGTTAAATCATAATACATTTTCTATTCTAGATAGACAGACACCTTATTAGTACCGGTAGGTAGATAGGTTACCCCGCCCCCAACATAAATCTAACGTGAGACGTCTATCTCTCTAAAATAGAGTTACCAATGCGATTTCCGACAAATCATCTTCTCAGCTCCGCACGATGAGTTTTGCGCGCCACCAAAGCACCAAAATGTAATGAATCTTTTTTCTCTTTGGTGATTCAGAGGTGGCTGACGCTTGCTGCGGTTCGGGTAGTGAGATTCCGATGGATGCTTACCTAGATATTTTGGGGAGTGTGTTTGTGTGTACGGCGTAGGGAAAATATATGTATTATGTATGGATGGATATTTGGATTGGATATGATTATTGTTATTCTTATATCTTTTGTACTTGCTGAATTGGGGATCGAACGACTCCTTCGCGTTTGTTTATAACTACCTAGGCTGGAATTGTGATGTGAATACAATATTAAAGACGCAAAATGTGATGGAGAAAGGAAACGAACGTGATATATCAGATTACTAGTCTAGGTTATATGTAGTTCAATAGAACAAGCATTTGCTACATTGAATAAGGTTACTCACATCTATTGAATCCAAGCTAAAATGTAAATGAAGCAGGGCAGGGCAATATATGCAGTGTTTGAATTAGACGCTGGATTTTAGAGGATAGAGTAAGTTAACAAATAAATGATTGGCTTGATATTAGAATTTTGCAGCGGGTGATGAGGACTGGAGGCGCCGTGGGTTTATGAGGTATGTCGGTAAGCGGATTTGAACAATGATAAGGTTAGGCGAAGTTTGTTATTTTGGAATCTTGGAATCTTGGGGGCGCGGCGGTAATGGGATTTATCTATTTATTTTGAAAGAAGTTGGGATATTGGAGTTTCTCTTGTCTGGTTTTGTTCAGTTGAGTATTGTGAGTGGTGTGTTGTTTGGAGGGTAGTTGGGTTGATAGTGATGTATCTATTAGATAGATAATTCAGATAATACTGAAAGATTTATAGCGGCTATTGCTGAGTTGAAGTACTGTAGTTTGGAATGTTAATTACAGTTTAGAATTTCTGAATAATATACTCCTAGCGAATTGAACTTAGTATCTGAAGCACTTCAGAGGGCTATCAAAGCAATCCAACATGAAATTATAAAATGTATTAATATTTATTTTCATTCCTTGACGCTATAGAATCATGATATCATGCTACCAGTATTTTTTTAAAAGATAACTCCATCTCCCTAGAAGGTATATATGCACATGAATCTCCAAATCAACCATGACACCATAGGCGCATAATACATGCAATTATTTTACATTCGAATTCTCTCAGACTACCGTGATCAGTGCCTAGTAATCACAACAATCACAAAGCAGCCATAACCATGGCAGCAGCAGCACCACCAACAACCCATTGTGCCTTGGCGGTAATCATAGACATACCTCCGGTAGAAATAGCAGATCCCGAACCAGATCCTGCGGCAGATCCTGAACCAGATTTCGGAGCGGAGGCGGAGGCACCAGATGCAGAGCCGGTAGTGGTTGCTGGACCAGCGGTGATGGTGACGGGGACAGCGGTAAAAATATCGGCGTACTCGGTGCTACTGATGGTTGTAGTCTCGATGGAGGAAAAGGTTGTTGATGCTGCGGCTTCAAGTTCGGTGTAGCTACAAACTCCAGTAGAACTGCCGGAGAGGACGCAGCCAAGTGTCATTGTACTATTAGGGTAACTGTTAGTCTTGGGTTTCCAAGCATGTGATGTGAATACGTACGCTTCACCGGTTGGGTATGATGAGCCGGAAGCACTGTCCGTGACGGCAAAGTCTTCGGCATCGCCAATTGTGTAGGTATAAGCGATTGTTGAAGGGCCTTGCGTAAAGGTGAAGTTAGGAGGAACACCACAATCGTAGCTGTCATCGTAGTAGGAAGAAGTGGTAGCTGGAGCAGCGGTTTTAGAACCACAGGCAATGGAGTAGGTGGTAGCAGTCGCGTCCTAAATAACCGTTATGGTTAGAAAATCTTTGCTGTTTTGTGATTTACAGATATAACCTACGGAAGCAATCACAGAACCAACGTATGGAGCTTGTTCAGAACTGTTGTAACCATAGTCGAATCCAACAAGGAACAAATCTGTTACAGTAGTTGTCTGAGCAGTAACAACAGTACCCATAAGGGCAGCGGCAAAGGTTGAGATGGCAATGGCGTGCATATTGGCGAAGATTTGATTATAGTCTCGAGAGGAGTCGATTTGGTAGTTTTATTTTATTGGAGATCTGCTGGAAAGTCTGTAGAAGGAATGAAGTTGAAGTTGGATTTGAAGTTGGTGTTGGTGTTGAAGCTGAAGACGAAAGACCGAGTATTTAAATCTACGCCTTACTTATTACTCGCAGCGGCTTTTGCCCTGTCTTGGAGAGTGAAGCTATCTCCTACGCCCCTGTCTTGCTAGGTATTCCTCCACTAATAAGCACAAGACTGATATCTGGGCATCTGATAAACCTCCGATTGGATAAACAAGATTGGATTTAATGGATTGTTCTTGTATGACAGCGGCTACTTCAATGTTTGTCCCCGTTTACTAAGAGGACAACGGCCCTTTGATCCCGTTTAGGAACTACGAAATGTACGATGTAGGGTTTTTACATCGCTTAAAGTCTAGATGGATAGGCATCGGCTAGGGAATGATGGGAGTCATCAGACTTTTGACATACAATTGTCTGATCCGCACAGGGATTCGGAATATTATTTTATTTCATTGAATCCAATCTTGACGAGAAAGATCGATTTACATTTAAGCTTAATGAGTTTTTGGGTTGATTGGACATCTGAAGCTGGAAACCTGCAATGAGAACAAAACAGCTCTTACCTGCGAGATTACTTGACAATCGAAGTGAAATAGAGGAGATGAGTCGATACCGGGAAATGCATGTTTCCCCTTCACTCGTGTGATCCTACCGCACCTCAAAGTCTAGAGACCGACCCAAGAGAGAATGCCAAGAAAAGAAGCCCCTTTAATCATCAAAATGGGGAAGTGGGATCAAGTGGGTCAATTCTTTCGACTATCCCCAATATGCTCAAGCTTCAGGCACCAGATACAAATTTTCACAGAACACACATACCTTGCGGCACCAGCACGGGATTCACGGGAGTCACGGGAAGTGCCACATCGACTTTCCTTTATGTCAAGAAATAACTTGAACAAATCAGAAAACTACACAGCATCATCTTGTATCTTGGTGTCACTTTGACAACAACGACATCATCCACTTGAAGTGTCTCCATCATCGTCGCCATCATTCAATATCGACAACTACACTCCACTCCTCCGTCACCACACCCATTGAGAATTAATCCTGGATGATCTCAACCCCAGTGGGTCAACTCCTCCAAATAATATGGAAGTCTACACGCACATACCTAGACCCAAGAATTTCACTCTGAAAATTTGAGTCTAGCTTTTCAACTGATTAAACCTACTTTCAGGGATTTCAAACTTTATTTGAGGATCAACAACTTTATTTGAAGCTCATCCGAAGAGTTCTATCGCGTCAGGTATATTTACTCACTACTTATAGTATCGTACGATCGCTAGATAGTACATTCTTGGTATGATATTGTGGAATGGTATTTTTATAAATAGCGAAGTGTAGAAAAGATTGAAACTTCAAAGGCATGATCCTGGATTTAAACTGTACAAAGTTGTGCCTCTTGTGGGATTTATTCCAAGAACTCCAGGATTCAAGTATCTCCAATTTTCACGAGCATTAGAGCATACGCGAGCCGCTTTTGGAATGAAGAATACGAATTGGAGCCGTTAAAATCATTCAAGTGCCTCTTGACAATTGGATTCCTTTCCGCGATATTGTCAATTTTGCAAATACCTCGTGTCAGGAGGGAGGGACAAATGCAAGGGAAAATTATTTCTATAGGATTTTCCCAGTTCAAGGTCTTCACACCCCTCCGAGCGCTCATTTGTTGCACATCGCACTTTAGAAAATGGGTCTTCAGCAAGTTTACGAATGTTTTGTTGCATCTCGCACTTTGGAGGCGTCTGTCGATCATACACTTAGCTTCATGTCCCGAGTCATGCAATGCATATGAAATTATGAATTGTTTGTTTGCGGTATGGACAACTCTCGGCCCATTTAACATGCACGGGAAGCGAGAAACCATTTAGTTGAAGCCGTTTGCTTCCTCATTACTCCAACCCTACACTTTGTCTTGAGATTGAAAGAAGGTTTGGAGAATATGGAAAGAATTGTGACTAGCTCAGTTGGCTCTCGCCTTCGGTTCCTTCACTCGCGAATTTTTGTGACATTTTCCTTTCCAATTACGTAGGAATTTGCATCCCTACATCTTCCTGTAGGATATAAGTGCATCTTTCCTCGTATTATTCTCCACCTGCTCGTCTTGTTTCCTTAGCACTGTCATTGGGGTTTTCCCGTCCCTCTTAGCGATCCCTTTCTATGCGTCTATTTGTTTCTGCAAAGCTTTGCTCATTTCTATTCCTTGCACCTTATGTCTTTAGGGTCTTTCATAAAGGCATGTTATCAAGTATACTAAGACCTTCACTTTTACCGTTCGGGGAAATCCAGTGGTGCACAAGTAGAAGTGGTGATGTGAAATGAAAATATATTTCTGTGAAATCTTGGACTGTTTCAAGAATATCTCAGGTATGGGAAGTCTCTCGATCTAATATCTCTCTACGCGCGTGAACTATCAGGCTTCAGCGTAGCACGAAAATGTTCATTCTCATCTATTCAGCAGAAGTCTATGTAGAGAGCCTTGCCTTCCATGTAAGAGGAAAGAAAATGCCTGACAATGCTGTGCCCCAAGAAAGCATGCGGCATATTTGATATAGAATTGAATGCCCAGCATACGATGTGGCGTTTATATATCATAGGGCCGTCGTCTGCAATTGCGACGCGGCTTGATTTAGATCCATGGCTAATGCCTCATGGACCTTACGAAGTCCATTTCCCAACAAACCAGAGCAAATTCTGGCCAGAAACGCTTTCTGCATCAACTCCAGACATGTGTTCCGACTTTTCATACGCCACTACGGAATCAAGATGTCCTTCGGGTGGATTTTCGGAGTTGGAGAGGTGGTCGTTCTGGGGCCTCCACTCAGGACCGGAATTGACGACTGGGAACTTGGTCAATATAAGATTTTATGAACCTTATTCGAGTACCAACCGACAGCTTGCTTCGTCGGTGCTACAAGACTGGAGCTATTCATATACTTCTTTTGTGTAGCTGTTTCCCTATGTAGCTTTACAAGGCCTATGGAACATAATCGCACCCCTCAATCTACGTGGACATCCCGTATCACAGCCTAAGCTTTCATCTCAAGCTGCAGCATCTATCCTCCAGCCCTTTATCCAAGTTAAATGCAATATTTTTGAGTCTGATAGTATCACGACGGCAATTGGAGGCCCGGAAGCAATATAACATTTCCGTTAATTTCTAGTCTCACCAGTCATGATTCGGATATGTATGGTGATATTAATACCATCACGATATCTGGACTTGACTTTGATATTTTCGAAGAAGAGAATAACATCCATATAACCTGGGTTAACTTGCACGACTTTCATAACTCAGCATCCATCGGTGCCGTTCTGAAACTTCCAGACAACGAAAATAGCATAGGGCACAATTATATTGTCCCCTGCGCTGTCGATGCCAGATGGATTTCTGCCGAATTGAGTATTGAGCCTGCAACAAGCCAAATTGTCTTTGGTGATCTCGGGAGTTTAGGAGCTTTCTCTGATTTGGGGGCTTTGATTTCAGACGCCAAAAGAAGTCGATCTCCAGGCTTGGCTTCTTTCGTGAGTGATATGATCAAAATTGACCTTGAATGGGCGCAATTGATGAATCTTGTGACTCCTATCGACCACAAATATTCTTCGAGCGTAGGTATGCGAACCAATAGTACGATTCGTGTGCCAAACGCAACTAGCATCGAAGTTTTACTAGAGCAAAGATTACTTTCTAGTGGGTTGTTTCCGGATATATCAATATTTTTCGATGCTCCAGACCTGACTAACGCATCAACTCTCGAAATGAAGGTTCAAGCCTTCATATCAATATTCCTAAGCATTCTCATAACCGACGCTCTGGTCCAGTATACACAAGGTGATATATCCTTATTGTCTATTAGTTCCGAGACAGACACAAGCACATGCATACTAATGGTCTACGTGTTCGGTTACCATACATTCGAGCTTCCCTGTGACAACCCTCGTACCAGCTCGTGGAAGTTTGATCTTGAGAGACGGGGTTATAGTTACGGCATGAAAAGCTTTACGACTCGATTGGCACTAGCTGCTCTCCTCACACATACTCTCATGGCGCTTATTTTTATAGTGTACCTATGTTTCGTAGGCTGGACGACGAAATCGTGGGGCTCAATTGGAGAATTGGTTGCGCTGGCGCTGATTTCCAGGAGGACGAAAGGATTTCGGGGAACGGATGCTGGGATTAGTCGTGCGGAGACTTGGGCGCAAAATGTAAGGATTGTAGAGGCGGGAGATGGGGGGTTGGAGATGAGATTTGAGGAGGATGGAGGGGGAGGGGGAATCGAGATGGGAAAGAGAGTGCAGGTGGGCAAGAAATATGGATATCAAAAAGCGGCCGTGAAGAATATCAAAAGAAGCAAAACTTCAGCGTCTATGCCTTGAGATTAGACCTGAACTGGGCTTCGGAAGAGCAAGCTATTGAGGACGCAATACCCTATTAGTTGTTGGTTCCAATCACAGAATGTTCTGTGCTGCGATCCTCAGCTCTCAGATCTTCCTCTCGACAGAGATCTTATTATCAGACTATTGATTTCTAAGGTCAACGTCTATCTCCATAAGGAGAGGTCTTACTAGAGGGCTGCTCCGGCAAACCTATTAGGTTTGCGCTCCCTCAAACTGATAATTGTGTACAGACCATCGAAACTGATTTCTTTACTCTGGCCTCCGATTTGAACTTCACTATAATCCGATGTGAAGTTTTTCCTTACGTTGTAGACAAGTTAGTGGGAACAGGTGGAGGATATGTTTGCGAAGAAATAATTCACAGAGAATTCTCACCCTTGCAATAATGCAATCCGTGGATATCGGAGGCTACAGTACAATTTGACTCGAGAGGCTGTGGAGAATGTTCATGCTGTTTCCAAACAACATAATGATTGGTAAGTTCAGAGTCAAGCTTTATTTTCTTACAGAGTCATTTTAATCCTTGGGTCAGCAAATAGACTGGTGTGTGGACGAATACGCAAGCGGTTCTGGGTGTGGGTTATTCGACTTGAATGCAAAGTGTTATCCCGAAGATCAATGAAAATGTTAGTGTTAAAAATAGATGTGAGGTACTGTTTCAATATTTGACATGCTTTTAAATTTTTACAAATAGCAATTATCTTTTGGGTTCGTTCTTCACTGATTCTCACTATTCACATCTCTACATTGTGAGTGGTTTCCTAAGTGATCATTCGTAACATATATGCGGTATTTTTGGTCATGAAGTTCACTTTCACTCTGGCAATTATATCTTGGTATGCTCATCTTCAGCAGTGTCTCGAGGCTGCTATGTTGCTACTGTCCTCTGCATTTAGTCGTGACGATGATTTTGTATCGCAAATTTTGATGAGACTATTTTTAACTGCCCTGAGACTTAATTTTCGTCGTGAGGCAATATAGAGTAAGTCAATACAACAGAGTAAATTCTTCCTCTTGCTGGGAAACATAAACTAGAAGTTATGATTTTGAAGGCAATTGACAGTGACTGAGGTTTCACACTTCTATGAACATTACATGTACGGTACGATCACTTTGTCAAGATCCTACTATTTCCCTCTATACTTACCAGCTCATGTAGTCTTTCCCAATTTCGCTCACCATCAATCTAATAGTCAAGATCACAAGCAGGAAGATACCATAGCGTGACAACCCATCAATCAATCCTGAAAAGGAAAACTCTTCCCCTACCAGACACATGACTGAGCATATGATTCCGAAGCGCTGGCAATCAGCTTTTTCTTCTACGCAAACATTCAGAGAACAATCCGATGATCAAGATCTAACTGGTTCTCTTACAGGTTATGTATCCCACATATAATATCCAAACTCATCACGTTTTGACTGCATCATCTGCAGATCCTTGTCCCTTCAAGTAACTCTCACATACCGTGCAATTCTCTTCGTTGAAGTTCTTATTTCTAAACATCGAAGAATCTACTTAAATTGCAGGGTGGTATTTTCTACCTTCATCTCCATCTTCACCTTCAAACTCGCCTTGAAACACTCACTACAAGCAACACAATAAGAAACCCCAAAGACAACCAGTCCCCAGATATCTAAGCGAGAAAGAACACAATCCCGCATAGAAATTTCGCTACCTTAGACGAAACATTCACTACAACATAAGAACAATTGGATTCATAGGCAGACTAGCGAATCTGCATCAAGCGAAGCGAAGCTGAGGGTGCTGTGATATTGAACTCAAAATAGATAGTAGAGTCCTCTAATAAAAACTAGAAAATTCCAGCACCCTCTCCTCTTCGCTGGATTTCGTATCCATCTATAGGTTAACTATTTTATTTCTCTTCTCTCTTCCCTATTCCATTCTTCCTCTCCTGCTCCATTAACAAGCAAAGAGGATACCGCTCGAATTCTCATAGCAATCTCTTCAAACCGGACTCTCATCTCTCATCTTTCACACGAAAGGCGCCACGTGCAGTTCAAATCTCTCATTCAACCTCACACAACCATCTCGTACCTACCATCTCATCCCACAAAACAGAGCCAGCTCAAATGTCTCTCAACCAAGCAAACAATGGATTTATCTCCCCATACTCCCCCCTCTCCTGGACCACCGGCTACCGCGCCACTCGCCCCTTCTCCCCTCCCCTCCACAATCCCCAATATTCTAACTTCCCAACCACCCGCCCCTTCTTCCCTCACTTCATCCCTCGATCACCCTCCCACCCCCTCCAACCCACCCCCTTCTACCTCACCCAACTACACCTCTCCCGTCCCCCCACAATCCCCAATCCTTTTCCACACCCCTCTCCCTCCGCTCCTCCCTCTTTCTCCCGCACTCTCCTCTCCAAACTCGCGCCCTACTTCCTCCGTTTCCGCACCGCGGCCTTGCTCCTCTGGAGTACCATCTCTTTGGTTATTTTCTATACCCTCGCGATGCTGCGTCCGTATTATCGGGGTTTGGAGACGAGAATGAGAGAGATTGATTGGATGGCGCTGGGGATTGCTTTCGTGGTATTTGTTTTTCTGCGGAGGGGTGAGAGGGGAAAGTGGAGTGGAGCGGGGGAGGATGTGGGGATTGGGAATGGGAATGGAGAGAGGGAGATGGGGATGGGAATGGAACCGGCATATGTGATTGCGATTGGGTATTCTAGGAGTATGAGATGATTGATGGGGGCTGGAAATGGGAGAGGTGTTTGTTGTTTGAGCTCGAGTTCGAGTTAGGGGTTGGGGATGGGGGACTTGTCGGTTGTGAATTTGAAGTCTTTGGAGGTGGGATTGAGACGGAGAGATGAATCAATGATGGATGGATGGATGGATTGGTCATCTCGTGGAATCAAGAGGATTTGTTTCAATCAAAAAATTCGTGGTTGGTTCTATTATGCCTAAACATGTTTTCGGCAGAGCCATCACCGTCCATTATTTCTATCTATAGGTCATCGTATTATGCCTGCCTAGAAGTATTCCAAGGTTCAACTAGAATACGATTATCACAAATTTCAAAATATTTCACAGAACAAAAACTGAAAGATAATAAATGTGGACATGAAACTCAATGCATTATACATGGTAACTCAGCCCCGGTCACCCATTGATCTAAAGACGGAGGGAATCAATACAAACAAGAGAAAACCCATCTATGTAACCGCTTAAATGCCCAAAGAAAACTCAACACCAACATCGATATCACGAGCTAATTTATGTTAGCGTTAATCATCAACGATCATGGATTGAAAGTGAACTTACCCATCTTCACAACCTTTGAGAATTGGACAGCCTTCTCAGCTGCGCTCTGCAAGTCATCAATGGAGAAGATCTTAAGACCAGAATCGTTGATCAACTTGTGTGCAGCTTCCATGTTTGTTCCTTGCAATCTTGCAATAATTGGGATTCTAAGGTTCATGCTCTCAACAGTGCTGATGAGACCTTGAGCAATAGCATCACAACGAACGATACCACCGAAGATGTTAACGAAGATAGCAGTAACCTTGGGGTCGCTGGTGATGAGAGTGAAAGCCTCCTTGATAGCTTGTGGGGTGGCTCCACCTCCAACATCAAGGAAGTTAGCTGGTTCACCACCGTTAAGCTTGATGATATCCATAGTAGCCATAGCAAGACCGGCACCGTTTACCAAACATCCGATGTCACCACCGAGCTTGATGAAGTTAAGACCAGACTCTGCGGCACGGACTTCCTCAGCATCCTCTTGGGTAGTATCGCGCCATTCGAAAACCTCCTTTTGACGGAACTCGGCGTTGTCATCGAAACCAAGCTTAGCATCCATGGCAAGAACCTTGTGATCAGAGGTCTCGGAGAGAGGGTTGATCTCGATTTGAGTAGCATCCTTCTCCATGAAGATCTTGTAAAGTTTTTGAACGGTATCCTTGGCATCCTCGATACATTGCTCACTGAAACCAATATCAGTGACAATCTTTCGTGCGATGTCATCAGTGACACCCTTGTGGATATCAATGTAGGTAGTAGTGATTGCGTTTGGGCTTTCCTTTGCAACAGTCTCGATATCCATTCCACCTTGAGACGAAGAAACGATGACTGGTCCTTGGGAAGCACGATCCATCAAGATAGCAAGGTAGAATTCCCGACGAGCAAACTTGCGCTCGCAGATATAGACAGAGTTGCAAATACGTCCTTGGGCACCGGTTTGCTTGGTGACAAGCTTGTGTCCGATCATTTGGTCTGCAAACATCTTTGCTTCGGTTGGAGAGTAGATAACCCGGACTCCTCCCTTTAACCCATTGTCGAAGGTACCCTTTCCTCTTCCACCTGCAAGAACTTGTGCCTTGATAACCATGTCATCTCCGCCAATCTTCTTTGCAATAGCCTCGGCCTCGGCGGCTGTTTTCGCAACAGATCCATCAGGAACACCAATTCCATACTGTATTCTCGTCAGATTCGTCTCCGCCCGCATGATTATTTCGTACCTTTCTTAACAAATCCGCTGAAAGATACTCGTGAATGCTCAAAGCTCTCTTTTGTTGCGCAGCGCCGACCATGCGGGATGGCATTGAGGCCTAGGATCATGTTAACTTTGTTGATAAGAGACTTTTTTGATATGTGGAAGAATTACCCTGCTTGCCTTCAAGGCAGCTGCCAAAGGTTGGCTTCTAGCTAGCTTGAACATGTTGATATTTATTAAAAGCGGAAGACACAATGCCGTCTTTCTATCGTAACCAGATCTTTTTTTCAGTGATTGTCCTTCCGTCAAACGGGAATTCGCGAAGCTAGTACGGGAAGCGTAACGGACCGATAACGCTACTTTCACGTGGGCTAGGTGGGATAAAAGATAAATCCTTGAAACATTTGAGTTTGAGCCTTGTCAAATTATTTTTATTCTACGAACGAATACTTTAGCCTTGTCAAGTCTTTCAATATTAATAAACTCGTTTTGGTACAACGAATGAACATACGCCGCATTACGCGGTAACGCAGGACGAAGCTACGCAATTAAATCCCCCCGCACGAGGATTCAAATATCGCACGATACAGCCATTCAGAATAGCGCAGCATGGCCAAATTCGCAGATGATCAAACGGAAGCACCTCCACCCAAGAAAGAAACATGGGAGGAATTCAATGCGAAAATGAACCGTATACAAATGGCCCTCGCAAAACGTGAAGCCATTGCGGAAAACATCCTAGCAAAATACCCTGCCGAAAGACGCCGTAAGACGCAGGAAGAAATCGACGCTGAGGATGCCTTGTGGTTTCCTACACCGGCGGGAAATCAACCACTTAATACAGATCCTGCTTTTGCGAAATTCTTGAAGCCGGCTGCGGAGCGGAACCAGAAAACTTTGCGCGATAAAATGCTTCCTTCGAAAGAGTTAAGAGCTAGTAAAGCGAGGGATGCCGAGGAGAAGGCTGCGAGTGCGAAGAGGGCTTTGGCGGATGCTAGTAGTGATGAGGACGAGGGACGAACTGCTCTAGGGAAAGCAAAGAAGCTGAAGACGAAGCACAGCAAGACAAATGGAGGTGAAGATGATAAACCATTAATCAACAAAGCCTTGCTTGCTCAAAATCAGGTTGAAGAAGGAAAAGAACTGGTCAACAAAGCTTTGTTACTCCATCTGGAAGATGCAGATGAAAGCACCGAAGTTACCTCGAAGAAGTCGAAGAAAAAGAAGAGGAAGAAGTCGAAACAAAAGAATGCGCTGGCGGAAGAGGATAATGAGCAGAGTAATTTGGAAGATAAATCGCCTGAGGCTGTTGATCAAATGGATGTGGACGAGGAAGACTTCAATTTATTCCGCAGCAAACCTGTCGATGCGATTCCGAAAGATAATCCACCTACCGATACTGAAAAAGCTTATGAAGGAGATCCTGAGACTGAACAGGCATCAGATGATGAGAGAAAGGCGAGGCAAGAAGCCAAGAAACTTATGAAAGCCCAGAGGAAGAAAGAGAAAAAAGACAAGAGGAGAGAAGAAAGGTCAAAAATGAGTGTCGACACGGAAGACTAACAGTAGCTATCAGGTAAATTGTCTATATTAGGTTTGGGCATACTATTTGATCTGCACCAATATGAACATACTATGATTTTGTTTAGAAGACACCCGAATTTCAACATCATTCTATCTTAATAATCCCCGTCGCATTTTAATTCATCCGTGTCGTATTGTTACATGAAACCCGTAAACCATATACCATACACATAATCATAATTACAAATAATCTAAACCTTTACTTCCGACTCGCTTTCTCTGCATCGCTTCCATATGAAACCTGTCCACTGCCATCCTCTGTCACAACTCTTCCCACACCACCCACGACCTCCCCATTATGTTCTGCCTCCTCGGCCGAAACAACTGGAGGGCCACTAAACTCTTTTCTACCTCTAATTACATACCAAAGAAGACTGATAGAAGCGAAGAAGACAAAAACTACACTCGCGTAATTCATACTCGTAGGAGTGACCGGAATAGCGGTTGGCATGCAGAAAAGAACGATGGCGAGAGTGATCCACTATATAGTCATTGATTAGTAAATTAGCCAGAAGAAAGTATCTGTGATACTCACAACAACGGTGATAGCATTAATAGCAAATCCAAATCTTCCTAACGAAAATGAAGCATGCTTGACTGCCTGTCTTCCCCGAATAAGATTAACCAAAATGGGGATTCCATACGAGACCGACAAACAAATGGTAGCCACACCGGTAAAAGCATTGAAAGCACTGGTGGAGCCAAAATAGATGCATCCGAGCACACAATCTACTACAGTAGAAAGGACAAGGCCCCACAATGGGATATCATATGTAGGATGCACGCGCTTCCAGATACGAGAACCGGGGATAGCTCCATCGCGCGCAAATGCATATGTGCAACGACTTGCAGCGGTCAAGGCGCCAACACCAGCGAAGAAGAGGATACCGAGGATTAGGAACAGAAGTCCGAACCCACCGGCTGCGGAACCAGTGACTGTTTTGAAAATGTAGCCGATGGGTTGACCGTTTAATTGGCCAAGAACTGAAGTTACATCGGGGAGAACGAATAGTAGAGGAACTAAGTAGAGTATTCCAGTAACTCCCGCGGCGAAAACAGATAGAACCATAGCTTTAGGAACTTCTCGCTCGGGATTTTGTACTTCTTCGCACATGGCAGCTACCATTCCGTAGCCGGTTAAGGTGTAGGCGGCTTGAAGGAGACCAACGAACCAGGCCCATCCAGAAGGCCAACCGGATGCCGAAGCATCGAAATGGGCGAAAACAAACTCGGCATCTCGACGATTATTCGCCATTACTAGAAGAGTAATGATGATGATAATAACCGAAGCCGAAGTCCAGTATATACAGATTTTGTTGATCAAATCCAGGTATTTTGCACCGAATACATTTACCGAGAAAGCAATTGCCATAACGGCCCAGAAACATAGGACGGTTTGCCATGCATTGGCCACGAAGTCATCATTAAATATCGAGATGGAACTTAAAATCAATTGTGCACCCTGCCCTCAGATATCAGTATTTCGATCGTTCATACCCCGAGAAGACTTAACATACCGAAAAGTTGATGGACAAAGTTACAGTCCAATTACCCACCAAGGTCAACCATCCCGTGATCCAGGAAACAACAGGAGCATATTTCCTGGTGCTAAGCATAGCAGACCAGTAACTATGTTTCAAAGTGTCAGTCTAGACTTTTCCCAAAGACCTCGGTGTTTCTCGGGGAAGCTCGGCATTGACAAATGTCAACGTCGATATTTTATGAGAGAAAAAAATTGCTTGGTTGTACTTACTATACACCTCCAGCAGTTGGATACACACTGCATATCTCAGCCAGTGAGGCAGCGATAGCAAGTGATATACACGATACGAAGATCCAGCCATATAAAACGGTCACAGATTGACCATCGGTCAGCGAGTAAGCGAGTGTCGTGCTGAGACCGAAAGGAACTGCCATAATAGCGAATGATCTAGTGCTTTAGTCAGTATTGGCCATTGGAGCAAGAGGGGATAACGTGCAGGCCTAGAATACTCATCATACTCAGGGAACGAGGCAATTCAGCCGTGTATCCCATATTAGCCAACGCAGCATCTTGATTTGAAGCCGCCATTGTTATAAAAGTACACAGATACACGCAAACAAAGTGGGAAAATGCTGAAAAGCAACAAAAAGATTGATTAAAAAGATGCTGAGAGGTTGAATCTCTAGCAATCGAGGGAGTTGAAGTATATGGAAGTGTTGATAAAGGGTCAAACACTGGGGACTCCAAAGACCGTGAGATGGCCGAGAGATAGAGAATGGATTGATAACTTATCGATGGTGATAGCGTCTAAATGTCGGGGAAACCCAAAAGTCTTGGGGAAATTTGTCAATGGCAACTGTCACTTACAAGGAACTTGGATCCAGAACTTAATTTGATGAGGAATAACGTAAAAGAATTGTCACACCAAACACCAGCTTTTACCTTCATCCCGTGAAAACCCAAACGCCATTTGTGGCAATGGTTGTCGTAGATAGGTTCTGGCTACTAGGTAGGTGCTAGGCAGGTACACTAAATGTTAATCGTGAAGTATAAAGCAAAGGTATATAAAAAGGGTCTTGAGGGGAAAATCTGGAGAAATCCCACGAGACATATCATGTACTGACCGGTAAGAGCATCAAACGGGAGCGAGGGAAAGGGGGAGGGATACATAGGGTCATCCTCCATCCTTCAGCCCTTCATTACCTACCATACCAAACCTACAAAGGACTCACACGTTGCCAGAAAGCATGCAAATCGGCCGCTAAGACAACCCGGTTGCTCCTCTCGCTCCTCTTGTAGTTTGCCATCTTGTGGTGTGTGCATCGAGCATTGGAACTGCATACTTTCTAGCCGCACAGATATCAGATGGATGGCTCGAGGATGGGAAGTTGGAACGATGAATATTGTTGAATTTGGGGAATCCACATCAAACAATGATATGATTAGATGAACGGGAATTTTATGCATCCTTCTTATATGTTGTCAAAGTGACGTGTTAGAAGTTAACCAATCTAATGAATGAGTATCCATGAAGGGGAAGAAGAAAAATTCGGTGGCATAATTTATAAATGAAGAAGATGTTCGAGAACACAATTTCTGATTTATATTTGTATATCATACTGCCCGCTGTTCAAATAGATTAGATGAAATGTTTGTGTTGCACTTCAAGTTCCTCTCAACCCATTCTTGATTTCCATCTCAATCACGTGTATCGAATCGGCTAAAGTTGCTTGATATATCAAGTTGGATAGGTTCAGATCAGATGCCAATTGTCCCTTGAGAGAAACAAGGGTATCTATTCTTTTCAACGTCACTATCACTACTATATTATAGCTAGCCAATCACTGACATGGCTACTTCCAACATAAATGGTCATGGCGAAAGGCCTTCCGCAGCTGCAAGATTTCCTACAGCTCCCTCAGTCATGACGATGAATGGTAATTTTGCATCTGTTGGCGATGCGCCGACAAATGAACAATATGAACATGGCATACAAGTTATTGATGAGCAGAAGGAATTCAAGTACGCAAAAATCGAGTTGGAAGCTCTACCATGGCTGACAGAATTTGTGTAGTCCCAATCTCAACCCCTATCTTCAATTCACAGATACAGCACACTCTGGCTTCAACTACCATCTTATATCAGTATTCGGGTCACAATCCACGGGAAAGTCTACGCTCCTCAACCATTTGTTTGGCACACAATTCGGGGTAATGTCCGAGAGGGAGAGGAGGCAAACTACAAAAGGAATATGGATGTCAAAGAATAAGAATCAAAACTCTGGCGCTTCTGAATCCGAGACTATGGCCGACAATATTTTGGTTATGGATGTTGAGGGAACAGATGGTAGAGAGCGGGGTGAAGACCAAGACTTTGAAAGAAAAAGTGCTCTCTTT